AAAACTTTAAAGCACAGCAAAAAGGGGCTATTAAACTATTTGCTTTAACATAAATACATTTGATGTTTTCATTAAGAATGTTTTCATAGATCAGGTTTTCCATGAAGAAGGAATCTCAAAATGAGCCTTTTGTGTAGTTGTAATGTCTCTGAGTGGGACCCTCCTTAGAGCAAACCTTTTACACCACTTAAAAGTTAAATTTCTCATTATCATGTATTTCTAAAGTTCTTTATGGGCTTTATCATATATATTTTTGGGCAACGTGTTTGACGTTTAAATTTGAAGATATCTGCCTGCAGTTAACTCCACGTTTGAAAACTTTTTAAGCACAAAACCCCACAGCGTGGGACACAACGTGTCCCCTCCTCTCACTTAACTAAAGCTCTGCTGAGCTCCTGGTGTACAGCAAAGTGACCTGACAATCGGCTCAATGCCCCGGCCAATCAGAGGGACACGTGACCTCCTAATCCCCCCCTCTGTGAGAAAGGGTAAGAGTGTGTTGTCACTGTTGGTTTTGTGAATCAGCGTCCAAACTCCCAAATGATTTACCAAGAGTGAATAAGAGAAACAAAAGCAGTGCAGGCCATATAGTGAGGATGCTGAGCCACTGAGGATGTGTGTGTGTGTGTGTCTGTGTGTGTGTGTGTATGAAGATGCAGGGTTTCGTCTATGCAGTGGTGTGTGCTTGCTCACAGCACGCGTGCATGTGTGTGCGTCTGCGAAGGGTCTGAGAGATTACAGAGCTCGGATGACAGAGTCCTCTGTGTGTAATCGTGGGTCCACATGTGAGTGCTCACCTTCCTTTAAGCGGATTAACCTAATGCTAAGTCCCAAGAGAGCAACAGGCCAGAGAGCCACACGGAACAACTTCATTGACAACAGTCAGAGGGGAGGCCAGGTGTGAAATAATGTGGGAAAATTTTAAAAAATAATAATAAAAATAAAGAAGTCCACAGCTAAAAAAAAAAAAATTAATAAAAAATACTTGGATGTCGACCAGGTCACAACATCCTGCTAAGAGGTGAAAAATGAATCTTTAATGTTGTGTTTACTTCAAATAGGGACGTTTCTTCCTACAAACTGAAGTCACAGCCGAGCACCGAGTGAACGCCTGCAGTCGGCTTTAGACAAACAAATCAAGGTGATCAGCTGTGAACACTTTGCCCGCTAAGAATAACACTTTTCAAAAAGTCAAAGTATTTTATATATGCATTGCATGCAAGTGTTTCCACTTTAATATATCATGTAAATCTTTTAAAAAAAAGTGTTTTGTAAATAATGCATTCATTCTGGTAGTTCAAAAAGAAACGCGGCTATCATTTTCAGACTATAAAATGTATTTAAATAAAGACATTTGGCTGCTCCGTTGTTAAGCTCAAATTAAAAGAACGTGTGCTGTGTTTTTTTTATTTATATATTTATTTTACTTCTAGAACAATCTGATATTTATCCTCATCTCTGGGCCTCATTTAACATAAGAAATAAACATTTTAATGAAAAAAAGCAGCAGCAAGTGAAAGTTGCCACATGTTAATTATGATGTCCTTATTAATCCATACTCTCACTGCAACAGGTTCATCTGAGCCACATGAGAGTGAACTGAGCTCACCTTGATATATATATATATATTTCCTGTTGTACAAAAAGTCAATCACAAAGTCATTGAGAGGAAAGTTGTAGCTGAGCCTGACAAATCTTCTTCAAAAATCTGATTTATTGCAATATTCAGGGACTCTGCGCTGGATAAATGACCAAACTGTGCTCCCCTGTATGAAACAAACAAGCTTGTCTAATTTATAAGAATTAATTAGACGATGCCAAAATGCACCTTATGCCAAAACTGAGATAATTGTAAAATACTTCAGTTTTGACATGCTTACATGAAGCGAGACATATTTTTGTGTATCCTTTTGGTGTATTTTACCTAGATAGGTGGAAATCAATTAAGTTTTATTAAAGCACAATTTATTTTATACTATTTTGTTGTTTTACGGGGTTCAAAAGTTGTTTAATTCCAAATTATTTAAATATACTTTCCCCAAGTTTACTTTTTTAGCCATGTTGAGTTAATCTGAGTTGAGGAGGTTGACTCCAGTGATGTTGGGGTGGGGGGGTGGTGGTGGTGGTGGGGACTTTGTGTGCGCCTGCATGTGGACATGAGGAACCTGCACAAGGTCACCACACACAGAGACATCAAATACAAGACAGAGATCTCCTAATAGACCCTAACCTGCTACTTGGTGTCACCTTGTAATTACAGCAGCAGAGCTGTCACCGGCGGAGAGTCGACAGAGGTCACAACAAATCGATACACGCAGTTAATGCACTTTCAGCGCGCGCATCCAAATAAAACCCTCAAGTTTTGGAGACGTAAAGAAAAGAAAAGAAAAAAAAAACTGACATCTCGTGCGAGTGAGGGTCAAGTGTTGTACTTACTTTTGTTTCGCTCTGAAATCTTCTCCTGGCTGAAGAGACAGGAAAGTGTGGGGGTAAATAAAAAAAGAAAAAGAAAAGAAAGACAAGAAGCGCTCCGCCGGCTCGTGTGGCGCGGCCGTTTGACAGGAAGGTCGGAGCCGCGCTGCCTGATGGGGACGGAGTTCTCTCAGACGCGCTTAAAATCCAGGAGCGCAACTTAGCAAAAGAAGGCGCCGCGCGAGAGGGGAGGAAAAAAAAAAGTAGCGTACAGTAGCTACGTGGTAGGCGTCTGTGTAATATCAGAGAAAACTCCTCTCTCTCTCTTCCTCTCTCTCTCTCCTTGTGTCTCTGTCGCTCCCCCCACCCATGCGCGCTCGGACAGTCTGCTGTGGAGGCGGTGAGGACGCTGCGCCTGGTCTCTGAGGTGCCGGTGAGCGGCGAGGGACTCGGTGGAGGTGAAGTGCCGGAGCTGGTCCTTCCGTCAGCCAATGTCCCCCCTCTACCTTTCTCCTCGAGGAGAAATAATCTTTCTTTTTCTTTTCTCCTCTTTTTTTTTTTGGGCTCCTGGAAAAGGGGCGGTCTCACTGTTTCCAACTCGTTTAATGAACGAGGCATGCTTTATTATCGCGCCAGCCCCGAGTGGACGCACAATTAAGTGCTCAGAAAGGACCACTAGAGGAAGACGATACTGACTTTAACTAATGGACTGATGGAGAGTACTGATAACAACGTTAGTAAGCTGCCAAAGTTGAAGTTCTTGTTGTGGCAGCTTTCATTTTCACCTACTGGCAAACTTTGTTAAAGTCTTTGTCTTAAAGGTGCTCGTTTCAAATATAACAAAAAAATGTTATCCTGAGCTCAGATGGTGCGGTTCATGCAAGTAGTTTCCCACACTGATAATCAGTTCTGAAGGTTCACACTCAATGTAAACAAAGAATCCACCCAAAACCACATGGAAGTTGGAGTCCTGTGATTGACTTAAGGTGTATAAACACATGTGACAAGTGTAAAATAGCAGAATGTGATTTAGGGGGAAATACAAGAGCAAATCTGCAAAATCCAAAAGAAAAGACAAAAAAAAACAAAAAAAAAACGGAGTAAGACATCCATCAAAAATGACTATTGGAGACAAAGCAGGACAGTGGAGCTCCATAATGAATGAGCCCTGCAGTCAAACATTCAAAACTTCTGTTAGACTGGTACATTTGACTTCTTTTCAGTCACGTTGGTTGTTTTTGTTGGTAAAGAAACACACGTAGAAATTTTGCATACACATTTTTTAATTAAACATCAATGTTAAATGTAAAGTGTATGGATTTTGTTTCTTACTTTGGGCTTTCTTCATGACTTTTCCATGAAAACTGGTTAGAAAATGGTCAAAAGGAATTACAAAAAAGTTTATTTTTTACCGTTTTTGAAAAAGTAGATAAACTAATACTAAATACGTCTCCTTCTTAAGGAATATAATGCCTAGTAAGTTAAGTAAGATGTAGTAAGAACCACTAAATAAACTCAACTTTTCCCTCATTTAGTTCAGTTCAGCAAAACATTGTCCAAAAAACTTAATTTGATACATTATCTTGAGAAGTGAAGCAAATTTTAAAAAATCCAAACAATTCTTTCCATGCTCGAGTTTCTGTGAATGCTGCCTACTTTCTCAAACACTAAACCACACTTTCTATCTCCCAGGACCCATGCAGCTATCTCACACAGATAAGCCGTGACACAGACAGTAAGCACTGGAGGAATTACCAAGTCTTTATCCGCCCAGTCAAATGATTTCAAAACATCCACTCTATTAGTGTGAAGATAACAATTAGAGCAGCAAGTTTGCCCGTGCTGATAAGAAGAAGGAAGACAGGCAGTGCTGTGGCTTTTTGTAAAGATGTGTAGCACAGATATGTATGTCTTGTAATACCAGAGTTCTATTATGCTCGCATTAAATGCTTTAAAGATTGTACATGTCTGTCCTGAGTGATGCTTATTATACTTGTAATATGTCTTATTGCAGTTGGGTTGAGAATTTGCCATTGGTTTTGTTAAATGTTAATGAATAATAAAGACCCATCTACCTACAGAATGGTGTCAATGGACATCAATGATACCTTTATTCTTTACCTTTTTTTCAGACATTCACCTGTTGTAAACTTGTGTTTTGCCACCCAGTCAGTCAGTGTAGGAAGTAGGGGGGACAACGGTTAATAAATAAATCAAGCTGGATAATCTGTTTGACGGGCGGACATTACAGCATGCAACCGAAGCCACTGGTGTCTGATGACTCTGGATACCACCTACACATCACCTGACCCTTTAATCTTTAATAGCGTTTCCTCTGGACCCCAGACCTCCATAATAAATCGATATGGCGTAGTCTGTTAGACACCATCGGCTCATAAATGCAACATGGCAGATATCAATGGCACTGCATATCAACGTGCATGAACCAAGTGCACAGCTTTCACAACCTCGGAAGATGGAATTTTTCTCCCTTTCAGATGTCTTGGTGTGTGCGGCATGCATTTGCATTGACTCTGTTGGTGACATGTTGACAAGTATGCGTGCAAGGGTGGTTTTTGTGTCTGTACCACATTCAGCGTTCCTTCGTCTTCTGTCTTACGTGCCCTGGCTCTCTATGCAGTCTGCCAGCAGCTCATTGGAGAGGTTCTTTTAGTCTTCACAATGCTTGAGGTTGACTTTCATTGGCACCTAGGAGAAAAAAAAAAAAAAAAACGATGTGAGGAGATGACGGATAAACCTGCTACTGAAACAGTTATGGTTTGCATGCATGTGCAGATAGCTTCATATAGTGGGTATATTTTTTACCTTAACTTTATTGTAACATCTGAATGTGTGTTTATGTGCGTGCGTGCACGTATGTGTGTGTGTGTGTTGAAATGGCCGTATAACTACAGAGGAATAAATTTGAGATTGAGAATTGAATACATTTGAATGTAGAAAAATCATTAAACAAGGCAAGTGTTGGGTGCATGCATATTCATATATAGCTGCTGACTTGTCTACTGGGAGGGGAAGAAAAAACTCTGAAATAGGCGTACTTACAGCTTCATTCCTTCCTCAAACATTAAATACAAAACAGGAGGAGACCTGTTGTCTATTTTCTTGTACACCACCAAAGCTCAATAAGGTAACGGCAGCTTAACGTGTTAGTACTAGTTATTGTTCTGTGTGCTTCCAAGTGTATAACAGTATATGCTGTGTAATTTTCATAAATTCTAGTTTAATACAAATGAAACAAAAAACATGTTGCAGATCCTTTGGGTCATGTTATATCATAAGATTTTGTTAGGATGTGATATGAAATTATATGATATTTGACATAGCCTGATACAATACATTATGGTATAATATACAACACAATATGGTATTAAATAATGTATGATATGATGTGTTAAATTGCATGAGCTGATATTTGACTTAATATCATCTGATGTGTGATATATGTCATACATGACATGATGCAGCAACGCAGTACAGTGATTAGAGCTGTCACTATTATATTACAGTAGTCCCTCATTTATTGTGGGGGATCCGTACCCTGAAGCCCTGCAATAAGTGAAAAACGAAAAACCGTGAAGTAGGGATAGTAGTACAAGTAGTATATATATATATATATATATATATATATATGTGTGTGTGTGTGTGTGTGTGTGTATTTTAAACACTTCCCACACTTGTGCAATGTTCTAAACAATGTTTCTAAATGCTCTAAAATAGCATGTCACGATTTCAGCTCCCTGTTTCTGGCTGCTCTCTCAGCCACGCCCACTTCTCCTCTCTGCATTGAGATCAGCTGCAGGAGGAAGCTCCTCCCTCAGCTATGGCCTGCACACAGGTGCTAAATCATTTAAAATAATTCATTTTAAATTAAAACAATCCATGCTGATCGTGCGGCTCATTCACCAATCAGCCAGTTGTGTGGCATGTAAAGTCTTACTTTGAAAAACCGCGATAGAGCAAGTCCGTGAAAAACAAACCATGAAGTAGTGAGGGACGGCTGTATATATTTTTTTAAACATAAATATCCATGTGCTATTAAATGATCTTTTCTGTAAAGTTTAATAAAATATCATTCACAAGAAATGTTTTAACAATTGGACTAGATCGTCAGTGTTAGCGTGTTAGCATGATACCTTTTTCAAACTGAAGTCGTTTAACAAGCCATCTACACCAGGTAAGACACTGATTGTTCAAATCCTTTCCTAAAACCCCATGTCAAAAGATTTGAACTAACCCTTTAATGCTCTAAAACATGTGTGTGTTAATGTGTGGGTTGACAGTCACATCAAGTCCGGGTGGAAAAATTAAAAATTGTTTTATAGTTTGCCAGACTATTATGCAATTACAATATGTCACAGTGAGTGGATACACACGTTAGTCCTTTGAGTAAATGCAGTTTATAGTGAGGTTTGGCATATTAAAGCAACAGGGGAAGCTGCAACTGGATGTTAAGTCAAACACATAAGTGCGGTTTGGAGATATTGATCTCGCTTGGATTGTTTCTTAAGCCTCTCCTGGCAGTCGCTTTAGAGCATGTGTCACACACAGATGCTGTCTTAGACACGTACAAGAGATGGCTCATCTGAATTTTTTATTTATTTTTTTAACAGGAAAAAGGAGAAGGAAAAGGCAGCCTTTTTCATGCAAAATAAAAAAAAATAAATACAAACACATTTCCAGGGCAAACAGGAACAACCCGGGCTTGTAGCAATCTGTTGTCAATCATGCTCACGTGAAAACACAATCTGCCTGTCACAGCCGATGATGTCGTCAAGCACTCTGCCTCACCGCTCTGGAGAATTAGCCAGCTATTACAGAAGCACGAGAAGAAACCGAGAGTATTTGTTGTATGTTGGATATGTCTGAGGATGCTGCAGCTTTATTTGGTATTTACAGACTTCAGTCAGTCTTCATGCACATGCTCCCTAATGATTTTCAGAGACATTTTGGTGTTTTGACAGTAGATTGATGCGACATGACGTGACGACCAAAGCCTTCACAGTAGGGACAAAAAGACCTGCAGGCCATTTTAATGTACAGACTCAGCTGGGGAGCTGCTGACTCTCTTTTTGCACAGGTGTTTGTATCTTTGTGTACTTTCTTCCTTTTGAGTTCTGAGTGTCTGGAGGGTAAATTCTTTGAAAAAATATAGACAAGTAAACATCATGATGTTAAAACTCATTTTTTTTAAATCGTTATCATAATTTTGGAAAATCACATTTTGTTCCATATGCACTAATCATGTTTTTCTTTCCTGTAATGGAATACATACTAATAATGTTCATTATCTGTCACAGATATTCACATAAATATTTGAGAATGTATAACACTGTCTTGCGACTGTTATATTTTTAATTTACTAATTTCCCAATGACACCATCTTAAGTCCACTTTTTGTTTATTAAAAATGTCTCATTATGTCCAGAAATGACTAAACTTCTAGCTTCCTTTCTCACACAAAGCACACCTTCTTTAGATGTCAGCTCCCATTTTTCAGAAAAAAAAAAAAGATTCTTCTTCTCCACATTAGGTCTTTGTGTTAGTCTCCAGAAGCCCTATATTTTACACGATGTGAAGCTACTTATTAATAAGGTTCATAATGAAACTCAGAGGGCGATGTCTGCAGTAATTATGTCGCAGGGATTCTACTGTACAATATAGTTAGAAGAGCAAAGGTGATAAATCCATTTTAATTAATTCAGACAATACAAGTGCATTCCTCTAATCGACATTCTTCTATTGTTCTATATGAGGAAAAGCATTAATACCATGAGACAGTCTTCATGTGTACTAAAGAAAGAAAATAAAAGCTATTTTAGCACGCTAAGGCGGCATTCCCACTTAACTTCAAGGGATTTTTGAAGATTAGATACCTTAACAGTTAATCCATAATGACAATAATTTGGACCCAAATACCCCAGTAGCATGAGGTGATTTGTAAATATTCTATATATGAAAATGTTCAATGTTGATAAAACTTTAGGTCCATTTCAGTGCATTTCCATTATCATGCATCCAACATAAACTACACATTTTACCAATCCACTCTTATTTCTTTTCATGCATACCACATTATTTTATAAAATAACATATGGAGTTACATTAATCTGAGACAAACTCATGTAATTTTGGATTTCAATGACCCAACAAGTGACCTTTGTAATTTTATATAGCACGTTTTGTTAAAAGAAAAAGAAACATAAAGAAAAAAAACATGAAAGTAAGAGAAAAGTTCTGTCTGTTTGTCGTTAGCTGCTGTGGTCCTTATTTCAGTAAAACCTTATAAGGTATTATTTCAATAACACAGTTTGTCTTTGTGGTGAGGCCAGAACAAACATCTTGCTGACATCTCTTGCCAGCTTGTCAAGTGGAAACTGAATAACAAAATGAGAAGGACTCCTCCACTGTAATGGCTATAAGCTCTTTCCATGCAGCGTCATGTATGAGACAGCATGTGAGATTTGCATGCGTTGTATTTAACAAACAGCATTCTGTCAGTACACCTTTTCTGAATTATGGATGAGGCACGCTCAACAACAAGCTCTTCTTTTGTTCTGCCTGAGGCTCGCGTTACATCACAGGAACAGGGTCCTGGTCCTGGGAGCGCTGACTCAGCTGAACTGTTGATCAAACCTGTTGCTTCTCCACATTTTTACACTGTCATGCATACATTTGTCATTACAACGTAACTAGCACCCCTCTTGGATGTACGGATTTTAGCAAGACAAAATAACCAAACAAACATCTGGATATCTGAAAGAGAATAAGTCACGTTGGCATTCATTTTCAATTAATCAGGCCTGATTAGCTGTTGACTGATTTTGTTTATAATCAAAATAATTTCACGTGTTTCATTAATGCATATGCAGCATGCCAGGTGCCATCAGTAAGCCATCTGCTCCACATGAAACACTCACTCACACACATGCACACTGCAGTTGAGTGTGCCGCCTGCAGGGGAGGTCTGCACTCTTCTCAACACAGAATAAAGAGGTACATCAGGTCTTAATGAGAGGTATCCCTCAGCTGTGAGCGTCTCCTTAAACCCTTTATTTGGTGAATAGCATTATAATGTGTTCATTTTGTAGAACTATCCAAACATTTGAGCAAGGTCATGTTGAAGGGAAATTAAATACGAGTAACAATTATCCCACAAACCAACATTTTAATTGTTTTCAGTTTAATTTGTTCCCTTTATATCTTTTAATTCCTGACACTGGTGATTCTCTAACCCGTTCTTCTGCTCGTGTCTTCTTGATGAATAGCCAGCCAAACTGTCATGGTTTCTGTCTGTATATCAAGGGCTAAATGTTCTTTTTGTCTCCTTCAGATTGCTCTGTGCAGGGTGGGGTGGGGGCAGCAGGGAGAAAGAAACTGACTTTCTGCTAATGATTTTCCCTCCTTTTGAATGGTCGGAAAATAATCCCCATATGAACTGCTCCACGTGCAGGCACAGTTATTTCATTGTTCTCGCTGCTCTTTCTCTAATTGTGCCTATGAAGGAGAGATGCCAGTGTTACTTTTGTTTTGGTCTCAGCTCAAAGGGCGTTCAAAAGCGTTTCTTGAAGTGGTGCAAAAGCTGTGTCTGAAAAAGCCTTATTTGTGTGCAGAAGTGGAATGGACCGTGTGCCGGTGCAGGTTCCATAAAAATTAACAAAAAAAAAAGTTGATGCTTATGTAAAAGGCATAAATCAGCTCAACTGTGGTCCACTGTTACATTTTTTCATACACTTGTCATTTCCAATAATAATTCTGCCTGACTGGTATTGTTTAAATCCTCACGTGTCGCTAAAACAACTCTGACCTGAATGTTGAGACGTGCTCGCAGGTACCTGAACAAAATAAATGGTTGAGAGACTTTCAGTTTTTCTAAACAAAGATAGTTTTGTTCTCTGTGGATCAAAGTTGCTTTTGTAAAACCGGTATAGAGCTTGGATGGGGCCACATTTAAATTATGTTTTTAAGGTGACTGGTCAGCTACTAGGGAGAATATAGCAATGTAACATGAATTGCAAGAGCCAACATTCACCACCTGAATATTTACAGTACATTGAAACAAATACGGTAATGCCAAGCAAAAAAAAGATTTGTTCATCAGTAAAAAGCTTAAAACACTGGATGAGCCTGTTTGACTTTAATTGTTGAGCATCAGCAGATTAAGATTTTTATAGTTAAAGAAGTTGTTAGTAGTATGTGTTACATTATGTTTAATTATCCCAATTTGTGTCTTTGAAACAAACAAAGACTGTTCATTGTAAAACCCATTTAGGAAATTGATTCTTTATTCAGAGCAGCACGGTGGCACAACTGGTAGAGCTGCTGCCCCTCAGCGAGCAGGTCCCCAGCTCAAATCCAGGTCCAAGGGTCTTTCTGGGTGGAGTTTGCATGTTCTCTCCGTGCATGCGTGGGTTTTCTCCGGGTATTCTGGTTTCCTCCCACAGACCAAAAACATGCATGTTAGGCTGATTGGTAACTCTAAAACTGTCCCTAGGTGAGAGTGAGTAAGCGAATAGTTGCGTTTCTCTATGTGTCCCTGTGATGGACTGGAAACCTGTCCATGGTGTCCCACACCTCTCGCACAGTGATTGCTGGACATGGGCACCAGTGACCCAGCGACCCAAAAAAAGGAAGAAGCGGGTAAAGATAATGGATGGATGGATGGCTAGCATCGTTGTTCACAGGAACCACATAAGGAAACAATAATACGCCTTAATTTGATAGACTTTCTGTATCAATTTCTGTAGCACTAAGAGGATTGCTTATGACTCATTTAATATTGCTGAAGCAGTTAGATACATTAAAAAAAAAGCAGTAACCTTGATTTACTTTACTTCTGTCATTTTATTAAAAAAAATATCAAAGGTTTGGTCAAGGTTCTACATAACCAATATGTTTTACTATGTAAAAATCTGGAATGTTACACATTTCCTTTACTAAACATGACACAGCAGAAGTTTGTCCTGCAGCTGTTGACCTCTGCCAATTCTCTCGACAATTAAAGATCACTCAGCATAGCTGTGCAATTTCTCCCACACTCCTAACAAGCAGCTGATAACGTCTTGCTGAGAAGAAAAGCAAGCACAGTGGAATATATGTCTAAATGAGGATTCCCCAGCTCAGATGTGAGATCGGCAGGCCTAGCAATAAGGACTCGGGCTTGTGCTACATGGTGGAGCCTGGCAGACGAGCGGTGGCGTCTAAAGCTCTTTGTGCCTTCAGGATCACCCTCGACTCATTCTTATTCATACATGATCAGAGGGGAAGCAGGCAATTGAGATTAGCTACAGATCAAAAGAGCTGCGTAGCGCCAGCATTTGTGTTTTGTAGATTTAGGCGGCACCAGCACAAGAGTATTGTATCGTGGCTGAGAAGCGTCATACTGTTTTCTGGCCTCTACAGCGCTCAGGGGGAAGAAGGAAAAGGAGTTATCATACAGGAGGACGCACCCCTGCTGGAAAAATTTCAAAGTTAAATAATTAAAAAGAAGAGCAAATAAAGAATGAATACTAGAAGAAATGACTATTGTAAGCATTTACAGAAGCAAAACATGTGCATGTTCCATACAATTGCAATCAAAACTGCCTCCTTATGTGTAAATGTTCACGGCTCACTTACAATCTGTTTAAAACTTGAACACTTTTTACAATCAGAATAAGCTTTATTAGCATTGTACTGAAATACAGTGAGATTATGACACAATGACACACATACTGTGATTCAAGAGTATCTTGATCCGTTATCCCATTAAATAACCATAGAGCTTATGCCTAACCATGCTTAAGGTCAGAATTAAAAGAACTACAGTAATTTGATATTTGCTTGATGAATTAAAATGCACTGAACAGTGAAAAAGCAAAATAAAAAAGAAACCTTGAATCTACATAGAGATCAGTTTATCAAATCTCCCTTTTCACCCGAGACAGTACAGTACTTTCTCAACTTAAAATAACGAACACAAATAAGTAACTTCTTCATTCTAGACTTTACCACTACTGATAAGTCAGCATTACTTTCTATTGGCACTATAAAAAAATAAAAATAAAAGCAGAGCTGGAGGGTGAACTGACTTTCAAAAGGCAGAGTGGCGTTCGTGTAAAAACATTCACTGCCCCGCAGAGAAAGAAAACAACACGTTTCCTCAACTCCGCCGACCATCAAAGCCGTGGAATTTTAGGGGCAGAAAAGCTAATAAGTGAGGACTAAGCTGTTCCTGTAAACTGGGTCAAAGTTTCTAAGGAGCAACTTTTTTTGGGTGCGTTAGTGGTCAGAGCAAGTCTCTCAAGTTATAAAAATAACATACAAATAAAGAAACACATACATGTAGCTTCAATTATCAGTGTTTGTTTAGTGCATATTTACAAATTGATGAATATAATAATGGAATTAAAAAAGTTAAAGGAAATCAAAATAAAAGAAAATAAAATGTTCTGTGCTAAATATTGTAAATATAATTAGTCATATTGGTGTACTAGTCATAATGGGAACGAAATGTTTGGCAATAAATTGGGTTTTGTCTTGGCACACAAGTACCCCCCATGAAAAAAAAAAAAAATGTTCTTGTTCTTTTAGTTTGAATAAGATGTTTACTCATTTAAAATATATTTAATATTATTCCAAAAAGTTTGCTCAGAACATTTTACCTACAATGACTGGACTGAATGGCACATTTTGCAACTGTAAGCACGAAATGAGAAAGCTATTTTGGGCGAATGAGTCATTTCTAAAACCAACATGACCCCAAAGCAATGCTTTCAATTTTATTTATTTTTTCTTATATTTAAATTACATTTCCAAACACTTTCAATTGAGAAGCTGCAATATAAAACAAAATAAACCCAATTTGTTAAACATGCCATGAACTGCAGTGCGGAGTATGGTTTGACATCCGAGAGGAGGGCAGATCAGTTTTCCACTGACAAAATGTGATTCAGATGAGAAGGTGAGGAAAAGTACGAATAAGGAATAGGTGTGCTGTGAAAAACTCACCAGTGCCTTTATTTCTGCTTCCCCAGGAAGTTACACCTTGCTGCACCGCTGAGGCCCAGCTCAATTAAATGATTTAAAAATAATAAAATAAAAAAGTGTAAAACAAACCAAAAATAAAAAGAGTAATAATAATAAAAAATAAACTTAGACTAAAATTAGCTTAAAATAAATGTCCTGCATGTAATAAAGCCAGACCAGCTGGCTTTGAACAGAAACCCTGATTTGGGTTGTGTGTTTGCCCCCGATCTCTGCCTGAACTGAAACCAGGTCTGGTTCTGTCCGACCACCCCCACCACCCAGCTGTCCCAGCAGAACCCACCTGTTCCTATCAGTCTTGAGTAAATTTAGCCTTCCAAGGGATCAGTGTCATCCCCACCCACCCTCTTTACCCCATTCCTATTGCACACACACCTCAGACCTCTT